GTAATTGTGTAAATAGTTAACAGTGTATAATGTGTTAACCCATAAAATTGATTAACTGTAGATGTCAACACACTCATTTGAAAGGGTGATGTCTGGAAGAATTAATATTAATTGTGTAAATAGTTAACAGTGTATAATTTGGAGTCGATGATTGATCAATAGAATTTGGAAGAATTCTGCTATCTTAACGTAAAATGTTCACTTAGTTGATATTAATATTAATAATACTAATTATTTTATTATATAATAGTAATAATATTAATAGTTTTATTATATTTTATTTGATAGATTTGAAGAAATTGAAGATTTGAAGATTTGAAGGATTTGAAGCTTGGCAGGATGTTGTTTCATGAAATCTATGAATTATCAATGTTTTTAATTGTTTGTTCTTAATTTTTTATCACTTGTTAATTTGTTAAGACTTGTATTGGACATTTGGACGTTTGGATTATTTCTGACTTTCTGTTGATGTATTATGTTGGACTAATGGAATGGCAGTGCGTATTAAAAGTTTGGATTTTAACTTTGGATTGAATTGCTTTGTTTTCAGTCGGTTTTTTGGTAACCGGGTCGGTTTTCGGTCGGTTTTGGTCGGTTATGGAGGTAAAAAATTACGGTCAGTTTTTCAGTTTTTCAGTTTTTCGGTCGGTTATGTAACCGACCGACCGTTTGCTCACCCCTAAGTCTAGCCATGAAGAAGATTAAATAAATAACTTTTAAATTTTATTTTTTTAAAATAATTAATTTGGAAGGATGACCTGTTGACCTGTTGGATACCTTCAAATTGGAAGAATGGTTTAAAATTGGTTAATTGAGTTGGGGGACTCAATTGTTAATTTTTTTAGATTGAGTGACCTAATTACACTATCTTGTGCAGTTCGATAGCTTATTTGACCCTTATTCCAATGGTATATTTGACATTTTTTTCAAAATTAAAATATTTTTCTAAGTTTCCAAATCCATAGACCATAGTTATACATTCCATCTTCACCAATATTTCCATACTCGAAAAACTTCCTAGTAAGTTAACCGTTACTTGGCTTCACAGTTGCCACCATCTCAAAACCATTATCAACCACAGAAACACTAACACGAAACAATGGTTTCCGTCTGTTATGGGTGGTGTTTTTGGTCTCTAATGGATGGCGACATGGTAAGGCTTCCAACCCTTGGGTGTTTTCTGGTTGTTCTATGGTTCTCCGGAGAGAGATTTCCGGCGGTATCATCGGATTTTCTGGGCGGTGACTTCCGTGGACATTGTTTCTTCTCTACAAGCTTCACGGCCAATTTTGGATATTGATGGCTCCCCCTTGTGGTGAAACCGTCGATTTCATGAGCTGTTTGACTCCCATCTTGGACCTTGTTTTTCACTAAAAATGATGGCTGGAGTCCGGACTGAGTTGGGGGAGGTGTTTGGTGGCTGTTCGTGCATCAAAAATCTCTTAACGGTGATGTCCACGTTTTTTCCGGTCATTTTTGGTGAATCTCTGGTTCGAAATCATGGTGGTCTTTGCTCCGGTTGGTGGTGCAGTCTGTATTTGAGGTTTCAGTTCGCTAATGGAGGCTGGATTTGGTGTTGTTCATGCTCGCCGGAGAGATTTTTCCGGTGGAAGTCCGAGGCGGCGGTGGCGCTCCGATTGGTTGACCGTAGCTGTCTTCGGTATGGAAAGTGCGATGAATCTGGGATTTGCGAGATTTGTGGGATCATATTCTTATGGAATTGATTTGATTTATCTACAAAACGCGTTGTTGAGTTTTGTTCTCCGCATGCCGAAGATGGAAGGTGGTCGTGCATGGATTAAGGGTGCTGAGACCGGGTTGACCCGCGTAATAGTGGGTTATCCGATTCATGGCATTATGGTTAAGTATTTTCGGGTCAATGATTTTAGCATGGTGGACTCCGTGGCTAGACGGGAAGAGGGCTTGATTCTGAGCCGTACGGCGTGGGTTCGAGTCTCTGTTATGGCGGAGGCTTTTAATTAATTCTCCCTCCCTTATGTAGACATTATGCTACCACACTTCATTTATTATCTTGTGAGCTACTGTTCTAAAGGTCGAGTGTGGTGTAGTGGCAGCGTGGGCGTGCTTGGGACGTTTTGGCCAGGGTTCGAGTCTACGTGCACCGTTGTCTTTGGATTTTAGTGCTTTTCATTGGAGTTTGCCGTGCATGGAGTGCATATGAGACACATCATGCCCTACTAATTAGGCTTAGCTTATTTAATTATTTGCTTAGTCGAATTTGTGTTTAGCCGATGGTGGTTCCAGATTTCGTGTGTCTATTTAGTATTTATGTTTTTGTTTTAAGTAGGGGTATGCCCCGGTGACTCGTGTATTTGGACGTTTGTTTTTTATTTACATCCCGATTTCTCGAAACAAATCTATGTCCATAATGCCAATCAACGAAAAAATCTCCATTTCCTCCTCTCAGCTACATATAATAAATTCTACCATAAGATATACCGAATTCAAGAAAGCCCAGTATTCGACTTCCAGAGCATTTCCAGTGGAATTAGAACTTAGGGGGTGTATTCAATCATGACTTTTATGGAGTTTTAAAGACTTTTATGAACTTTAAAAGTTTGGAGGTATTCAATTCAAACTTTTAGAGAGTTTTAAAAGTCAGGCGGTATTGAATCAAGATTTTTAAAGAGTCTTTAAAAGTCGTGTGGTATCCAATTAAGACTTTTAAAGAGTCTTTAAAAGTCATGTTGTATTCAAAAAGTTATGAACTTACTTTTTAATTTTAAGACTTTTGTAGACTTTTCATTCTCAAATATAAATAGTTGAAATCCAACCATCAACCCCAGGATTTCAAATTTTCTTTCTAACAACTTTGAATGTTTTCTCTCTCTATTTAAACTCTATAAACCTATCTAAATTCAATAAAATTATTTTTTTCTTCATTATCCTATATTTTCCCCATACCTAAACTCTACCAATTTTTCTCTCTCCTAATAAACTTTAGAACCTTCATCTAAAAATTCGAAATATATTATTTTTACTTCATTATTATTGCTTGTTTATATTATTTTTATTTTTTTTATATGAATTTTTTATCCCTAACTTTCCCTAATTCTCCCTAAATACATGAACAATGCAAATTTTTCATCATCAAATTTTAGTATATGTTTCATAATATTCCTATAAATACTTATATATTTTTATTTTTATTCTTTTTATGTTTATATTCGTAATATATATTTTTTCGTTTTCTAACAACATGTTACTACGAATAGCGAATTACTGTTCGCAACAACAATTTGAGGTTGCAAACATTGTTGTTGTTTGCAGTCTCAAATTGCTATTGCAAATAATAATTCTTTGCGTGATTCGGTGATTCCTAGCTATATATCAAGTATAATTTTATATTTTATCTATATTATTAATATTAGTTTTTTTTTATGCAACTTGTAATTATATTTTTAACATGGTTGCAATAGACGCTAGGCGCTAGTCGGGCGGTAGAGTAGCGCCTAGCGCCTAGGCGGCTAACTGAAAAAATGAAAAACAGTACACGTGTGTAGGTGCATATATGTCATATTATACATACATACATATATATATATATATATATATATATATATATATATATATATATATATATATATATATATAAATGAAAAAAATTAGCAAGGTCGAGTCAGCTGGGTTAACTCGGCTAACTCGACAGAAATTGACGAGTTAATTCGGCGTAATCGGTCGAGTCGGCCGGATTAACTCGGCTAACTCAACAGAAATTGACGAGTTAACTCAGCGTAATCGGTCGAGTTAGGCGCTAGGCAGCCGGTTTCCTAGGCAGGCGCCTAGGGGAGAAATCGCCACGGCCTAGGGGCGCCTAGCGCCGATTACTCGGTGCCTAGGCGGGATTTTTGCAACCCTGATTTTTAAATATTTTATTTGATCAAGTCTTTTCTTATAATATTGTTCAATATTGTTATGAATTTCTAATGAAATAGTGTTTTTTTTTTTGTTGATATTTATTAATAATATATATAAGTAATAATTAGCATATAAGTCTCAGCAGTCAGCATACTATGGATAAAAATAATAATGTTGAGAATGTTGATGTGGGTGAAGAACTATATAATAAGAAGAATTGTATGATATATTATAAATGTTTTGTAAGAAAATTGTAAATGATAAGAATCAAAATCATTGAAAGTTTGTAAAGATGTATTCAATTTAGAATTTCAACGACTTTTGTAGACTTTTTAAAATAAAAAATTGATAAAAGTCGATTAATGTTTTTTATATAGACTTTTATAGTCTTATAAAGTTTTAAAAAATTTTGAATGACTCTATAAAAGTTTATTAAAATCTATCATTTTCAAAGTTTTTAAAATCCCCTTAGAATCCATGTCGCCTTCGTGCGCCATAGTGCTAGGCACGCTTAGAACAGATTGGTTCATTCCTTGCCCCAAAAAAGAAGTTAGAAATAATAAAAACTCATTAAATGCAAAAGAAACATAATATAGCAATCCAGTAGCTTGAGACATTTGATAATTAGACTTACGAATTACAAATATAACTATAAATGGATGATGGACATGTTAAAGAGTTTTTAATCATTATACGGTGGACAATAACACACATTGCAAGATGAACCATTGACATGTATGTTTATTTTTAATGTACTACATACATATAAGACATTTAATTGCACAAACCAAAACCCCAAACAGCACATCACCAACCACCACCACCAAATTAAATCATGACACTAGTCCCAAATAACGTAAACAAATCAATCCACACATGTCACCAACAAATAATGAAAAAGAGCACACCAAATCCACCAAAAGCACACACCCACACTGAAATGCACACACCATACCCTCCCACAGGGTAAACCATAAACCCACCTCTACATTCATAGCACAATAAATTACCACCACACCCCAAATGGCCAAAGCACATCACACTAACAGGTCAAGCAACAAAATGAATTTGCATTAAAAAAAAAAAAAAAAAAAAAAAAAAAAAAAAAACTCCAAATGCCTAAAAAATGAGGAAAAATAAAAATCCACAATGAGAATCTAATTTCACCAGTAGAGACAGGAAAAAGGTGCAACATTTGATTCAGAGAATACAAGATGTTATTAAAACCACCCTTATATATCTTTCGGACAAGACTTACTGTCTCAAGCCTACTCCAAATCCAAGTGATAAAGAGTTAATATTTTTCATATATGTGCCTACGTAGAATATTGCCACAACAAATACCCTTTAAGACTCAAACTATAGACACCACTATTGCTATTGTAATGGAATGACAAAATTATTCATACATTACTGGAATCATATTATGCATATCTTAAACTGCATATGATGGAAGTGACAGTGCAATTATAATAAACCTTCCAGCACCAAATATGACCAATTTACTAACCATACAAGGATGAGACCACTTAAACATCAGAAGGTAACTTGTCCAACAGAAAGGAAAAAAAGTGCATTCCTCTTTCGATACTTTGACTGCCTGATGGAAGAGCCAACCATGGAGAAACGCACACAGAGAGGGTCGGCAACGGAGAGGAACTGTGGAATTTGAGGCGGACTCGGCGCGAAGCAAGTCGGTGGTGAAGCATCACGCTGCTGCACACGCAAATTCAATTCCATATAAAATCTCGGGACTCTATTTGCTAATTAATTAAGAGTATGTAAAATTACAACACAGCCCCTAAACATAATAAACACCAACAGCAAACACTAAAAAAACACCTCAAATCAAAACCGTTAAAATAAAAAAAGGAATGAAATCTCACTGGATCTAAATCCTCTCTCTCTCTCTCTCTCTCTCTCTCTCTATATATATATATATATATATATATATATATATATATATATATATATATATGCTAGGACAAGATAAGTTTGTAGAAATAGTTATGAACTAAAACAACACAATGATCAAACAAAAAGAAACCTTCAAATTTGTTGTTTTTTCAAATAGATGGGCAGAAGGTGAGGAAACTCGATCTATGAATTTCCAAGAGTATTTTAATTATCTGCAATTATAACATGTAAATATATTAGGACAAATATATATATATATATATATATATATATATATATATATATATATATATATATCCAAATGCAACATTATTGATACAACAAATTAAACTATAATCCAAATAAAATGTGCTAGCCGGCCACTGAGCAAGCTATACAAATTATATATATGCCATATATATATAATAAGAAGCTAATTGAGGGGAGCAATCACAAGGCCAGAGAAGTACTAGAATGGGAAATATTAAACAAACTGCCATAGAAATCTGATGAAAGATTAGATCGATATTGTGTGAAATTAATACTTTTTAATTAACTTACTTTGAATTGTGCAGCCGCGGATTAGTGGTGGCACTGGTGTTGGCCACCACTGATGAGTAATTGAATTAATAATTCCATTACCAATGAACCACCCAGAAGAATTGGTCCAATAAAAATAACTCCCATCTATGTGGTTAAATCCTGTGTCTTTAATTTTAGGATCAAGATTAGGATGCAGAAGGTCTAGGTTGGAGAGAAACATATCTCCTCTAAAATAAACCTTGCGCACCAAACTCCACTTCCCCATGTCGTAGTTCTCCAGCTCCCATATATAATATATGGGGATTTCTGAGTGAAGAGCCGAAGTGCATGTTAAACGAAGACGATCCTCAAATACTCCAAGGGTTTGGGCGCAACACCCCTCAGCTTCCATATCAGTTGGCATATAAATTGCACGGGAAATTTTTTCAGGAGAATTATAGGGATCATACACAAGAATATACGCACTAAGCAACATATGTAGCATCCCTTTATAGGGGACAAGAAAGACAGAAGAACGGAGAAGAAACAGTGATTTGATGGGCCATGGTGATGAGATCACAAGAGTTTTCCATTCCTGAGACGAGAAGAGTTGGAGTCTGTATTTGCCCCTGGAAACGGGTGGGGAAACACAAATTTGAACCACCACACAATTATAGCGAGAATTGTCTACACATTGCGATTGCTGAGGGGTGGTGCAAAGGGAACAGGGCGCAGGAACGCAAAGTAAGCCAAAGGACATTGCTCTGGGCATCTTCCTCTCACTGAGTTTGAATTGGGGGGGAGGAGGAAGAGCAGTCCAGTGCTTGGTTACTAGATTACAGACATAGAATAGGGATAGGAATTTGGGGAAGGTGGTGAGGACGCATATGGGGGCGCATAGAATTAAATCAGCACACGAAACCTTCAAATAAATTCTGAGTTGGGGATCGGGACAGGGAAGGAAACTTAAATCCAGCTTGCGGAAGCCGCACAAATTGGCATCAGGGTGGGGGTATCCACCGCAAACGATCGGGGAAAAGGGGTCAATCTGAGATTGGAATATAATGCAGGCAGACGATGAATGAAGAATTGGCGGAAGGGATGGGTCATGGCGGCGGTGATTGAATAAAGTAATAAAATACTGAGAAGAAATAAGAGAACACCATGTCTTGCATACCAATTTCAACCGGATTGCTGTTCTGCAGGGGAGCCTGGCCAGGATTTCAACTACCAAGTTCTCGCCCAGATTACTGAACAACAACTCAGAGGATACATCTGAGAATTCCATCAACCTGGCGTCCTTAAGGCGATCGATAGCTTCGTTCTGTTCTGTTCTGTTCTGTTCGGTGATGCCAATTCTCCCAAACCCTAGTTCGCACTTTATAGGTACTGTGTTTTATATTTTTTTATATATATAATATTTTTTTTTGAATGCTACTAGCTCTATTACAATGTAGTATCTGTTCATATACTTTCTCAACCTACTGAAATACAAAGAGCTAACAACGCCTCCACTGAGGCTCGAACTCACAATCTTCCAAATGGAAGTTCAACCCGGGTACCATTTTAATAAATAAATAAATAAAATTTATAAAAAAAACAAAAATAAAAAATATTTTAAAAAGACACGTGTCAATCGTGTGTAGGCTTAACCTGTTAAACAAGTCACTTTGGACTTAATTGAATAATTTTACATGTTTAGGGGATCTAAATGGAGCTCTTTATAGTTAGAGGACCCAATTGCACTATCGGGTCGACTTAGGAGGCCAATTTGACACTTTTCCCATTTTAATATTATAAAATAGTGTAATACAATTCTTATGTAATAATTTTTTTTTTGAATGCTACTGGCTCTATTACATTGTAGTATCTGTTCATATACTTTCTCAACCTACTGAAACAAAGAACCAAGAACCAATAACGCCTCCACTGAGACTCAAACTCACAATTTTTCAAATGGAAGTCCAACCCGGGTACCATTAGATCACATAGTCTTGGTTTTTATGTAATAATCTAATATATATACTATTATTAAAAATAAAATCATAATAACAATAATAATATGGTTAATAATACTAATAATAATTAATAAAAAAGTTAGCAGTAAACAATGAAAATAAAAAAAATTATCCCTAATTCATTCAAAATGGAAAAGGAAAACGGAGTTTACTGATTAATACAAATAATGATCATTAAAAAAAAGTTAGAAGTAAAAAAAAAAAAAAAAAAAAAAAAAAAAAAAAAAAAAAAAAAAAAAAAAAAGAGATCCCTAATTCACTGAAATGGGATATGAAACAAAATTCACTAATTAATACAAATAATAATCAGTAAAACAGTTAGTACTAAAAAAAATCATTAATCCATATATACTATATATAAAAATAAAATCTTGAAACTTTAACTTCTCGCTCAATTCCTAAAAAAAATATTGATTTCTAATAAAATATATTGCTTTCTACTTTCCTACTATAATTCTAGGTTAAAATTCCTATTTTAATATTATAAAATAGTGTAATATAGTTCCTATGTAATAATCTAATATATACTACAATTAAAAACAAAATCATAATAATAATAATAATAATAATAATAATAATAATAATAATAATAATAATAATAATAATAATAATAATATGATTAATACTAATAATCTATATCTATCAATACTATATATAGTGTAATACAGTTCCTATGTAATAATGTAATCTATACTACAATTAAAAATAAAATAATAATACTAATAATAATAATAATAATAATAATAATAATAATAATAATAATAATAATAATAATATGATTAATACTAATAATCTATATCTATCTATACTATATATATAAAAACAAAATCCTGAACTTAAACTTCCCGTCCAATTCCTAAAAAATCTTGTTTTCTAATAAAATATATTATTTTCTACTTTCCTATTCGTACTATAATTCTAGGTTAAAATTCATAATGTAATCTAGACTTCTATACTTACTATATATAAAAACAAAATCCTAAACTTTAACTTCCCGCCTAATTCCTAAAAAATCTCATTTTCTAATAAAATATATTCTTTTCTACTTTCCTATTTGTACTATAATTCCATGTTAAAAATCCAATTCTAATATTATAAAGTAGTGTAATACAATTCATATGTAATAATCTAATCTATACTTCTATTAAAAACAAAATCATAATAACAATAATAATATGACTAAAACTAATAATAAGGGTTAATCAACGTGATCGGCGTGATGAATTTTGACATTAAAACAATAGTTGTGGATGAAAATTGGTACTAAAATATTAGTTGTGGATGAAAATTGGTAGGAATTAAACATGTGCACCAAAATTGTCATTTTGCTAATACTCATGGGACCAAAATTGATATTTGCTCATAATTCTAGGTTAAAATTATATTCTAATATTATAAAATAGGGTAATACAATTCTTATGTAATAATTTAATCTATAATACTATTAAAAACAAAATAATAATAATAATAATAATAATAAATAATAATAATAATAATAATAATATTATTATTATTATTATTATTATGATTAATACTAATAATCTATACTATATATAAAAACAAAATCATGAACTTAAACTTCCTGTCAAATTCTTAAAAAATCTCGCTTTTTAATAAAATATATTATTTTCTACTTTCTTATTCGTACTATAATTTTAGGTTAAAATTCATATTCTAATCTATACTATATATAAAAACAAAATTCTGAACTTTAATTTCCCGCCCAATTCCTAAAAAATCTCGCTTTCTAATAAAATATATCGTTTTCTACTTTCCCATTTGTACTATAATTCTATGTTCATATTCCAATTCTAATATTATAAAATAGTGTAATACAACTCCAATGTAATAATCTAATCTATACTATCATTAAAAATAAAATCATAATAACAATAAAAACGTGACTAATACTAATAATAATTAATAAAAAAGTACTCGCATGGGTAGCTCAACTAGTCATAGAGGTGAAACTTTGGAAGAATGACCAGGGATCGAGTCTCACCAGCGGCAATGAGGGGGTGCGAAGTGAGCAAATGTGCAAATGTCTAGCCTCTATGGTTCATGTTCATTTGAAACAAACCCTTACGAGGCGTTTGGTTGGAGAGGAAGAAGGTTTACATGGGAATTGAAAGGGAATAAGTAGTATAAAGTCAAAAATGTCCATTGTTGTTGTTAAGCATTAATTTTAGGTTAAAAAAAAAAGAAGGGGTAATTTTGACTCATCACTTTCTTTTTTTTCTTCCTAAAATCCCAGGAATTAAAATCGCGAGGGGGGACATGGGATTTTAATTCCATGAAAATGGAGGAATTGCAATTCCTTTCAACCAAACAAGGGAATTTAATTTGTGGCATTTGGAATTATGTGGGAATTAAGTGGGAAGGAATTTAAATTCCCTTCAACCAAACGCCCTGTTAGGGTTGGGGTTCAACCTTTTGAAAGAATAATTAATAAAAAAGTTAACATTAAAAAATGAAAGTAAAAAATAAAAATTATCCCTAATTCACTAAAAATGGAAAAAGAAACAGAATTTACTGATAATACAAATAATAATCATTAAAGAAAAGTTAAAAAGTAAATAAAAAAATCAAAAAGGATCCCTAATTCACTGAAAATGCAATAGGGAACAGAATTCACTCATTAATACAAATAATAATCAGTAAAAATGTTAGTAGTAAAAAACAAAAATAAAAAATAATTATTAATCCACATATACTATATATAAAAACAAAATCTTAAACTTTAACTTCCCGCCCAAATCCTAAAAAAAATCTTTCTTTATAATAAAATATATTGTTTTCTACTTTCAATTCGTACTATAATTCTAGGTTAAAATTTCTATTCTAATATTTTCATTCTTTCTAATAAAATATATTATTTTCTACTTTCTATTTGTACTATAATTCTAGGTTAAAATTTCTATTCTAATATTAATATTGTTTTATACTTTCTATTCGTACTATAATTCTATGTTAAAATTTCTATTCTAATATTATAAAATAGTGTAATACAATTGCTATGTAATAATCTTCTTTTTGAATGCTACTGGCCTTCTAATATTAATATTGTTTTCTACGTTCTATTCGTACTATAATTCTAGGTTAAAATTTCTATTCTAATATTATAAAATAGTGTAATACAATTGCTATGTAATAATCTAATCTATACTATTATCTATACTATATATAAAAACAAAATGCTGAACTTTAACTTCCCGCCCAATTCCTAAAAAATCTCTCTTTCTAATAAGAGCATCCACAATAGTGGTTCAAGTGGAGTTATTTCATAAATAAATCACTCAAGTCAAAAATAATACTTGATGTGGGAATGGGTTATTTGAAAAAGAATGAACTTGCAAAATGTGGGTTAATGTCAGAAATTATTAAAAAAAAAAAAAAAAAAAAAAAAAGAAGAAGAAGAAGAATAAGAAGAAGTAAGGCTGTGCGCGTTTCGCGCACAGCTAGGCAAAAACCAGGCGCGTGTAGTGGTGCGTTAGGCGCGCCTGACAGCATCAGTTTTTTAATATTTTTTTTTAAAATCAATTTTCTCTTTTTTTTTTCTTTTTTTTTTTTATCTCCTATTCCCCATTCTCGTTCCTAATCACTATTACATTATCCCCACATTCTTCCCAACTGATGCGGATGCTCTAAAAATATATTGTTTTCTACTTTCTTATTCGTACTATAATTCTAGGTTAAAATTCATATTCTAATATTATAAAATAGTGTAATACAATTCTTATTCTAATCTATCCATACTATATATAAAAACAAAATCTTGAACTTTAACTTCTCGCCCAATTTTTAAAAAATCTCTCTTTCTAATAAAATTTATTGTTTTCTACTTTTCAATTCGTACTATAATTCTAGGTGAAAATTTCTATTCTAATATTATAAAATAGTGTAATGCAATTCATATTATAATCTATACTATATATAAAAACAAAATCATGAACTTTAACTTCCCGCCTAATTCCTAAAAAATATCTCTTTCTAATAAAATATATTGTTTTCTACTTTCTTGTTCGTACTATAATTCTAGGATAAAATTCCTATTCTAATAGTATAAAATAGTGTAATACAATTCATATTCTAATCTACACTATATATATAAAAACAAAATCCTAAACTATAATATCTTACAGTTGGGGCTGATTGACTGGGGAAGGTTTTGTTGAGGTAGGAATCACGAGACTATTCGTATTGATCCCCACAGACGGCACTAATGTTGATTTTATGACTTTTGGGCAGTCAACGACAGGCCAACACTACCGTTAGAATAACGAGAATATAGGAGAAATATAGGGAAAATATAAGAACTTTGTATTAATGAGTATTGTT